CACCACGGTATCAAAACCCGGTTTCTAGCGTTGTGAGTCCGCAGACATACCGCTGAATATTATTAGTATTTTCTATAAAGTAAGTAAAATATCATTATGTCCTATTAAACGAATGGCTGTGTTTGTCTGTTAAATTTCGAGCAGAGCTACTCAAGCGCTATCTACGCTAGCCGTCTCTAATTTTGAAGTGATAGTAGGAACGCAGCTACGCAATACCGCCAACTTTTGAGCTACTGTTTACCAATGAATAGTTGGATTGATCGTAACAATTATAACGGCTGAAAGGACGAGCATGTTGAGCGATAGGCTTGTATCCTGAGACTCTCAGATTGCGAGACGATCGCCGTAACCACCAGGCCATGTCAGAGCATGAATCTATGTTCTAAATAAGTTAGATGTTTAATGTGATTACATTATCATTGAAACTAAAATCACATAGCTAATACATCATATTAAACAAAGTCGGTTTACCTATAAGACTTTTAGGTACATCAACATATTTAAATATAAAATTTCTTAAACCCTGCGTAACTTTTAGAAATTATTTTGTTGATACGTACGTAAAAGAGGTAAAAATTTCAACAAGAAAGCTGTAAATTAAGCTACATATATTTTCCTCTCCATCTCCTACTCCTTCACAAAAAGTCGGCATTTGTTAATCAAGCAATTGAGATTTCCATCTTAACTTCAACGTAAGCAGTGTTTGTACATCCCATAATTTCAAAAATTTGAAGTTCATGCTCAGTTTTCAAGTGCAATGATTTTTTTTCTTTTGTTAACTCATAATGAGAAGATGAAAGTTTAAATTTGTCAACAGCAAATTGATTGCTGAATTAGTCTTTCAGTGAAGGCCTTAATCTAAGGATTAACAGTGTATCTTTCTTTTATACGCATAATTCTCAGATCACTGCATTTGGACAGAAACTTGGAAGCTGATGAATGTATTAATATTTCACAATCTCGGCTAGCTTTATCTTTTATACTAGAATTGTTCACACTAAAAAGATTAACATGTTCATATACACGTGTTTTTAACCATTTAGTGGTAGACCCAATATTTCTAGAGTTGTATCTAGGACATCTAAATTTGCAAACAAAATTTAATGTTATTGAAGACAATATTCCGTCGTTAAACCTTAAAAAAAACTAGTGTACGTTCTGGTTTAAACATCACACTTAAATCTATCTGTGCATAAGTTCTACGTAAAAGCTTGCATAGTTGTTTATTCAATAACATCGCATGTCTACCAGTGTAGAGTAATATTAGTGACATTGGTTTTTCCAGCACGTTTTAGATAAGTTGTCTGACGACTCCTATTTCCTCTAAGTATTCTCGTACGATGTTGTTAATGATATCCACTGGAAAGCCACCTTTCTTAACAATATTATTCATATTTCAGTTTTTTGTGTATACATACGTGATAATGATCTCAGAAGCAAGATGAACCAACATCTCAACTATTTTTTTACAATGATGGAAAGAAAGTGGTGAAATGGAAATACAATCCACTAAATGTCTTGTTATAAAAACTTAACATTCAAACTTGCCTACAAAGAATGGCGAGCTGCTGATTTAATTTTTTTTATGTTCAACAGTAAACTTGACACAGTGAAGACGACTAGTGAAATATTCTAAAAACTTAATAATACGTTCAGAGTCCTTGAAAATAACAAAAGTATCGTCCACGTACCTGTGATTATATAAAAACTGAAAACTTTCAAGACAGTCATTTAACCATTGTTCTTCATGAAAACACAAAAATGCGTTGGCAAGAGAAGGCACCAGCCTCGAACCCATCATACAACCATCATTCTGATCATAAATTATTCCACTGAACAAGAAATGTGACACTTTAGTAATAAATTTCAATAGCTGCTAAAAAATAAAGAGCTTAGGTAATTAGATTTCATTATTGTTATTACGGTAACTTAATTAAGTTGCTAGATGTAACATTTCTTCTACGGGTATGTTGGTATACAGATATTCTACATCGAAACTAGCACAATAAACATTTCTATCAAACTTTAACTTTTAAACTTGATTAGAAAAGACAAAAGTGTCTTTCACTCTATACTCATTTCGTGTAACTAGATCCAAATATGTCATCAGAAAACCAGCAACTTCATGATTATAAGTTCGAATATTTAAAGCAATAGCTTTTTTATGAACTTTAAGAATACCACATAAAACACCAGGGGGACAGCCAGATGGTCTTATCCTAAAATATTCTTCCTGAGACTGTAAATTATTCTTTTTTTAATTGTAAAAAATTCTGCCAGTTTTGATGTAGAATCTCGGAATACTAATATTCCCTTAGAAGAAACGTTTGAACTAGTAACTGAATCGATTTACCATAAACTTCATTAACAACGTCATAGAAGAATATTTAAAGGAATTTGGATCCGTCAAACAACTCGTCTACAACGTGCCGAAATACAAGCAAACAATACCAATGATACTACCCTACACTGGCAGATGTGTGATGTTAGTGAAGAAATAACTAAGTAAGTTTTATCGTAGTACTTGTCCACAGGTAGATAGATTTGTGTGTGATTTTTAAACCAGAAGGATGAAATCGCTTTTGTTTTTCAGACTTAAGGATAGAAAGTCGTCTTAATTAATAACATTTAAGTTTGTTTGTGAACTTAAACTCTTATATGTAATTCTGGGTGTTTGGATATATCACTAGATGGTGGAAAACATGTGTATATGGACATGCAATCTGTTAAGTGTGAACAATTCTAGTATGAAGGAAATTACGATTTATTTTATATTTTTAACGGGAAGAAAACATTTCGCCATATTTCATACTTTCCGTAAGATTCAGTATTTATAACTTACACTAACCTTTTTTCTTCTGACTTTTTAACTTCCACTTTGTCTTCAAACCTTCTGGTGGAGCACTGGAACTTCTCTCCAGCTTGTTTAGCCTTGAAACTTCTGCAACTATAGAAATCGGTGTTTCCTCTTCGCTCTCTTCGTTTGTGTCAGTGTTATCACCGAAATCAAAGAAATGCCGACGGGACTGTAAGGGCAGTGTATTTGATTTATTATCATCACTTTTGTGAACTGGAACCTTTTGCATTATATCGCAAGATGGATGATAATGAGACTCCACACTGTAACACTTGCCAAAAGTTGATAGGCGACGTGGCTTATATTCCCCAGTGGTTTTCTTAGCCTTAAAATCAAACCAGGAAGATGGTGTTTCATTCTCGGGAACGTTAACACAGATTTCTTCTAAAGATTGACATTTTATGGGGCATAAAGCCAGATTATATTTTTCAGTCTTTTTTTGATTGTGTATGCAGATATTGTTTGTTTTGACAAAACTTTTATTCTGAGATTTATCACGCACGTAATTGACAACATCCCAGTTCGATTTATCTACATCTTCTTCGTGAGAGGAGATTTCTTTGTTTTTCAAAACTTTAAGAGCCGCTGCCGGACCCACTTCATTAAATGATTGCATCTCCTCGTGTAAAGGAGTAAAGGCGAAATTTATTCCTTCCACTCGACCAGTTTCAAGTAGATTTTTTGTTACACTAAATTCGTCCTTCATTTTCCCATCACAGTTTTCTAATGACTGATCTTGAACATTGCAGTGATTTGCAGAATCATCTGAAGTTACATTTGCAACAGTCCCTGCATTTCCTCCCACACATGGTGTGATCGATGGCTTATGATAATCATCCACTTTGATTATAATATCAGTGTCTTTCTGATCATAATTGAAGTCAACTCCATCGAGGTTTTGCACCAAAGGTGACAAATCTGTTGACGAAGAACTGAGTTTGGTGGAAGGACTGCGTTTCGGCACAGGGGGAGGAGTAGGCTTAGGTTTATTAATTGTTACCTGCGTGAAAGCAAAAAGCTAGGGTCAGGAATACTTAACCGAAGTTAATCCTTGATGTCCTTTCACAATCTCTTCCAATAACCAAAAGTGTTACAAAGAAATATAACACTACTATAACATTGACTACTACAGTGAGCAAATTAACAAATTGTGTTATATTTAATCACAAAATAAATGAGATGCTAAAAAAACGCAGAAATAAAATAATCAACTAAATCATTATTGAATAAGAAAAATACATGAAATCCAGGTAAACGTGTTTCTTTTTTAAACGAAATTGAAGGATAAGAAAAATTTCTGTGATACACCTCTATATATACAATAAAACAATCACTAAAACTGTGGCCCTCCAGTGGCACAGCGGTATGTCTGCGGAATTACAACGCTAGAAACCGGGTTTCGATACCCGTGGTGGGCATAGCACAGATAGCCCATCGTGTAGCTTTGTGCTTAACTACAAACAACAACTAAAACTGTGTGAGCTTGAACTTTGCCTCTGACATACTTTTAACATTCGGAATATATACAAGTAAAATAAGGACAAGAAAGGGGTAAAACTACAAACATTTTCAACATAGATGAGGTGAATACTGGAGATCAATGAATCGAATACGAATACTTCATATTTTTATGGAAACGAATATAGGAAAAATGCTAAGTACTCGAATACGAATACATAGAAATGTATTCATGAATATATTGTCAGGTAATATGCAATAATGATAAGACAGCAGACCATAAGATTTCAATACTTTTATTTTACGAAGCAAACTTTTTAGAAACCGCAACAAACAAAATTTGAGCAAATAAAAACATTCAATATTTTTATTTTTCAAAATGAAATAAAGTTTTAGAACAAAAAATAAATTTTTAAAGGAGACTTATGGATATTATAAGTGTCCATTGTTCTTGAATGACATCAGTCTCTCAAATGTCTTGTCAGTGAGGTGGCAGCGATCAGGTCTGAGAGTCTTGCCTCCGATGCTAAACAAACGCTCAACGGGGGCAGAGGATGCTGGAATACTCAGGTGGGCCCGGCATGGCCAGGTGGTTAGGGCGCTTGACTCGCAACCTGAGGGTC